ATTAATGCCGTCTTTAGATGTAGTTACTACAATGTAAGGCCAAACTTAAGCAACATGTTAAATATTTTGGGGCTCAACACAGAACAAATAGTAACAATTCTGGAAAAGAATTTTGTACAATTGAGTAGTAGCTGTGAAATTTACTTGCTTGTGTGGGCATAATCTATAGGCAGCAGCTTCATATAAGACTGTTCCATAGAATTAGGCAGAAAAGACTTTATTTGTGATGTGCTCAGCATCTAAAGGTACTATACCACAGCTGAAAACAGGCATTTTTCTAAAATTAACTGCTATCCAATCTTAAAAACAAAGCAAAGCAAAGCCACCTGCAGTAGCAAAGGATAACTTCTGGTAATTTTACAATACCTAACATTTTCCTTTGTAATCTGACATTAAAACCATTTTTAAAAGATTTTAGCCATTAGGAATGATCACATAGGAACAGGCAAAACAACTGACTTACTTCACACCATAGCGAACTGCTAAATTTAGACAAACCTTAGCTGTGTCAGTTAGATGAACCTTGGCCGTGTCAACTTAGCTTCAGTTTAGCTCAGCACTGTTGTATGTTTCCTGAGCAGAGCTTGATTAGTAAAACATTTATATTACTCAGTGAAGCATGCATGCCAATTTGCATAGCATCTAAAGTCTGTGTAACCAATACGCAGTTAATTAACATATACCATTGTTTTCCTAAATGAGTATTTCTCATATGGACAATTTTAACCTCAAAGCTGCAATCACTGAGGATCTTTAAGTTCCCATAAACTTAAAATTGTATTTGCTTTAATGGGAGTTTGAAGACTCTCAGTAGCTGGCAAGATGAGGGCCTTTCCTGGAGACCAGAGATCAAGGTTTCTGTCTTCTTTTCTATGCAGTGTGCTTCAAATTCAGAGAGGCATTTGAATTCCCATTCATTCATGAACTGAACTATACAAAAGATAATCAATGTAAGCTTTCGGCCAGAAATAAGCATGAGAAATTTTATAGCCCTTTTTATAATTATTTATTGACTTCTGACAATGTGCAAGCTGCCCTACAAAACAGAAAGACAAAGACTTAAGATGAAAGCTTGGCCCTAAACACTTACAATCCAAAGTGCAACTTCAGACAATCACTATATTTAGATTACAACATCTTGACTGCCAAAAGTGATTAAAATATGCCTTCATTTTCAATATCCTGGCCTGCAAGGCAGCCATATATGAGTTCAGCAATCCATACACTTTCTGTACCTGCGTTCTTTTGGTGACTTATGAATAAACTGCACAACTTTCTGCACGGCATGAAAACATCTCTCATTTCTAGCTTTGCTGAATCTTTGGCATTCTCTATTATTTTGTCATTAAGGCTCTTGATTAATTTCAGGCACTGGTGATTTATGATTTGTCTGGTGTTCCACTTGTTTTCGTAGCATCTGTATCTCTCTGTTGTTTATTTAATGGCACAACACATACCATGACAATCTGCACTGGTAGAATTTAATATGCAGTTATTTTATTTTCAAGCTAACATTCAGACTTCCTTGCTGTTTTTCAAGGGTGTCTATATGAATTGTTGTGCAGAAAACAATCTACACAGACAACATTTATGAAACAGGGTATGTAAAATAAAACTCTGAAGTTCATATTGCACTTTATTTTCCATATGTTGAGTGCCTTATGCCTCTCGTTCACTTCTAACTATCTGAGATTTTCAGAAATGCCCAAGGTCTTGGGCATTTTTGAGAATTTCCCTACCCCTTTCTTCATCTCCATTTCAATGGTTGCTCAACACTTTGGAAAATCAGATTGCTTAGGTCTTGATCCTGCAAGGTGTTAAGTGCTCTAGTCTGCTAACCCCAATCCTGCAAGGCTCTTAATTATGTGCTTAATTTGAGGCATGTGAGTCATCCTATTAAAGTCAATAGGAAGATTCCTGCACTTAAAGCAACATGGGTCAGAGTGATCAATATCTTGTAGAAATAAACTGTCAATAAGGTGCCTAAATGAGTGTTGAATTTTAGGTGTTCAGGGAAAGTTTCTTCCCTGCTGTTTTTTTGCAGCATTGTACAAAGGCTATAGAAACCTTGCTTCTAGTTGTGGGGAGAATATTCCCCATTTTGGAACTGAAGTCACTACAAGTTGCCTTTGGCCAGCTGCAACATTGGGAACATACCAGGGGTTGAGGTTGGAAGCACTGGGTCAGTGGCAAGCATCACTGCAGCAATTCTGTAAGTAACATCACTCATAGTCAGCTCAGCTCAAGGCTACTATAATTTAGGTATGCATGGCAGGAGGCATGACTGTGAGATTGAGCATCAGATCCTATCATGCCTTATTGCTGGGGCAGGGGAAGCCTGGGATCACAATACTGAGCTCCCCCTGCACCAGCAAATAGCAAACTCCTAGGCCTGGGAGCCCTATCTGCTATTCTGGGCTCCCAGTCATAGGGGCACACCATCCACCCCCATAGCTGGGAGTCCTGTCAGTTGATCCAAGCCTGCCAAAGTCATGGTGTACCCTCTGCAGCTGGAAGCCCCATCAGCTGATGAGGCTTCAGTACAGGACTGCATAGTGCTTCTCCATGGCTGGGAGTCCCATCAGATGACATGGCTCAGAACCACATCGAGTCACCTGGCCAGGGGTTCAGTTAATGGCATTATAGAAACCAGCTCAAAGTGATTACACATTTTTGTGGCACATCTTTGTGGCATATTCTTTGTTGTATGGTATCATTCATTGCTTTAACATGTGAATTGGTTAATCATGTCTTAAGTGTAACATGCGGCAGGCACTTAAGCTACTCAAGCTTGTGCTTAACATATTTTTATCTCACATGAAAAATTTGGCCCATGAGTCCTAAACTTTCTTAGTGAATATTTTTAATGACTTTCCTATGCACATTAGAAAAAATATTTGGATTTTCAGAAGGCATAATTTAAAACAAAATAAAAAGCACCCAGCAAACGAGATGGGTGCACTGAATGAACTATCAAATAATGCCCTGAATACCCTCTTTCTGAAATGGACTCTATGATATCCATACATCTTATTGAGAGCTAGTACCTTGTCTGGGTTTGAATTTGCTGTTTCATCAAAGATTTGGCCACATAGCAGTGGAATGCAAACTTGTGACTTTTAAAAGGTTTTATTTCCAGGATAATCAGATGAGTTTTCTTTATTGGCCAAAATGTACCTTTTTTTTGTCCACAATGTATAAGAGCTTTCTCAGACTATTAATACTTTTCATACTGGTATCCCAGCAACACATATAGAGCAATGTCTAGATACTACTGGTATCCCAGCAACACATATAGAGCAATGTCTAGATACTACTGGTATCCCAGCAACACATATAGAGCAATGTCTAGATACTACTGGTATCCCAGCAACACATATAGAGCAATGTCTAGATAATACTGACTACTGACTTAAATAAAAAAACCAGAAAGGTTGTGGTTTCTCTCAAGGACACTAAAGATGTTTATGTATCTCTCAGTGAGATTTAAGAAATATTTTTTATTCTTATTACTACTCAGTAAACAGATGCATTAATTCAAATGAGCTAAAAAGCATGCCTGAATGACTTTTGAATAGCTCATCCTAAATGCTAAGTTTGTTACTATTTCAATGAAAAACAAGTCTTAAAATAAGTATCTTCTTGTTTCTAACCTACTAACATTTTTAAAGAAAGGTAGTTAAGTCTTCTTAATCTTAAATCAGGGAGAATGCAGGGCAGGGTGACACCTTATAGACAAACTCTTTCAGAAAGGCCTGAGCTTGCATAGGCTACAGCCAGCTTTGTCAAATGCTATGAATCCATCCATTGCAAAGTTTATGTCTTTCTGAATGAGTTTGTCTTTAAGGTGCCACCATTTTGAAAGGAATAAATGAATAGGTAGAGAAGCAATCAAGTGTCTGCTGTTCATGGTATTATGCAGTGCATTATTTCCACAATCACTTTAGATTTTCATAATCTTTATCTATGCCTGGCAAATATTTCCATAAATTATTTGGGGTTGGGAGAGCTCCTATGTTTCTTTCTATCTCCTTATTTTCATTTCCCTCCCCCTCAATTTCTGAAATAGCTGCTGGTTGGACTGAACAGGCTCTATTTGTGAAGATTTGGCCCAATTGCTATATTGCCTCACCTTGTATCTGACTCACTTTAATGAACCACCCATGAAACATCCTGTGAGGTTTGTGAGAGGCCAGGACCCTGCACCTCTGCAGAAGAGTTCTGTCTTATATCCACTGGGACTATGCTGAAAAGGACTACCTGGTGGCAGCTGTTACTGGATCTCTCCAAAACTGGATACAGCAGAAAGACAGAAGGCTTACTTTTCACTGCAGCGTTATCCGGAGTTAACTACACTTGAATGAGCGTTGCTGGAACAAGAGCAATCACCTTTGCCAAACGCCACTCAAGCTGCACAGAGCGCTTGGATTAGCTGTACAGAGGGACTGGATTAGCAGCACAGAGTGATTGGATTAGCAGCATAGAGTAGCTGCATCCCCACTGTATTATTAGCTCCAGTATCAAGGCCCTTGAGTTCTTAACCCAGTTCACTTGGGAGTGAGCTAGGCAGAGAGTAAACCACTTCACTCAAATTAGAGATATTTGTCTCTGAACAGGAGTCAGGTGAGGGGCAGCATTCAAACACAGCTAATGTTGCAGTGGTGTCAAGTGAAATGAAATGGGGACACTGACTATATTAGAGTCTCAGGTGGTATCCACAGGGGAAGACATATGACTCTCTGTCCTTCCCTCCAGTCTGTTCACACTTCCTTCAAGCTCAACCAGCCTCAAAACAAAAATGCTCAGTTGTGCAGATAGATGCCTTTGGAGTCTGGGGGGGTATAACTTTTGTGCAGGAGAGAAAGATGAACTGGCTGAAGACCTGCTGCATAAGCACATCTTATGAAGGAATAATCAACCCTTGAGAAGTCACAACTGGAATCAGCAGTGGACTACAATGGAACTTCAGAGTGGACCAGGAAGAAACTCAAAATGCTTACCCTGGCAGAGGGAAGATTGCAAGCTTCTAATGCAGTCTCCACTCGTTTTCTGTCAGTGGAAAATAGGCGGTATATGCTGCCAAATGGAAATCAACAGAGGAATTAATTCAGTGGCACATCACATGGTCCTGTGTTATACAACTACAAGCTGTGCAAAAAATACAAGGCTAAATAGATTGCACAGCACAGTGACATTTTTGAAAGACCTGTGTGTTTATCGTTTGCTTCATAGCCAGTTATTAAAATAGAAATGCTATTTTTTAACTTTTTAAAAATTACAATGGTAACAATATGGAAAAAAATCCATGCTTGTCCTGTAGACCACGGCTAAGAGGGAGGGGGAGGGAGGATGAAGGAGAAGTAGCTATACCACATGTGGACAGAGTGAGCCTAGGAGGGAGACACCTCTGATTCCTTTCACCTCTAGGTTACCAGTTCAACTCATGCCCCAAGTGGCTACACGCTTGTGTATATGACTTCTGTGGTATCTCCACACTACTGCCTCAACAGGTATCTAGGTACTCTAGTCATTATGGCTTCTTTCATCAAAGTATCTTAGTGATCTCTAACATGCTTAACTTTCCACACCCTGCATGAGGGATTTTGATAACATCTCTATTTTCACAGGCATGGGAAGGCCAAGTGATTTGAGCCAAATGAAATGTCTGGCAAAGAAGAGACTTAAGCACAGGCATCCTGTGCACAAACCACAAGGCTCTTCTTCCTTTTGAACAGCTTGGATGGTAGTCCTGTCACAAAGGACATCAGGAATGAGGCCCAATTCTACCCTTCTGGAGACAGAACTGGTTTCCAACTCTGAAGTTCAGGGTGCAGCATTTAGGCACAACAGTGGGGGGACACCCCATGTTACCGCTTGCACTGGAGACATACTGCAAGTACAAGCAGGTGATTTCATGCAAAGGCATGACAGCCCAGCCCCTGTCCAAACCCCAGCTTCATAGCTTCAAGCTGAAAGATCCAGTAACAAAGGAGACAAGAACTTACTTCTTCAGAGGAATACGTCCTTCTGGTGTGACTTGCAGCTTCAGTTTTGTGTAACTGTGGAGGGAAAACAAGTTTAAATTTATTTTTCCTCCACATTAAAAAAAAATATTTCGCAAACAGTCTTTTAGCTGAGCTCCATTATTTCTGTCAGCCTGCAAGTTTGACTTGCTTATTTTGAACTATCTGAAAAATTTGGCAGAAGAGCATAAATATTTGAGTGTCAGGACAGTAATGCAGTCACAGTCAAAAGCAGTCGGGTGGGACAGTACAAACATGGTCAGGACACTAGGATCTGATACAAAATTTTTCAGTGCTGACACTGCTGCGCAAAAGCACAGAGAGGAGAAATGGACTGACCAACTGTGGAGAGTTGCTCCTTGCTGCTATGTCCATGGAGACATAGCTGAAATTTTGAAATCAAGTAGAAGGCAGAGTAGATTTGCACCTTACAGTCTTATCAAAGTGTGAA